CCACTGGGGTGCCTGGCCAGTCTGGGTGAGGGGCTGAGGGCTGTTTTCAGGCTGGGACTGAAGCTCCCAACTGCTCCTTTTTTTATTTTATTTTTTTATTTTTTATTCTGGGCCAGCTTTAGCTCTGAGACTCCAGCTCTTAGGCCTCTGCTCCTGAAAGCAGGTATCTGGTTTGTTTCGGTTCTATAATCGAAACTCTGTATCAACTCCAGCTCTGAGATCCAAGCTCCATGAAAGCTGGTTTCTGGGGTTTCTTTTAGCTTCTATATTTGTTACATAGTTTCTTAAACTGCAGGCTCAGAGGCAAGCAAGCCTCATGTTAGTTTCAAGCTGCCTGGCTGCCGGCCGCCATCTTGGCTGTCAGTTAATTTGCATATCTCGCTGATTAGCCAATGGGAAGGGTAGCGGTCATATGCCAATTACCATGTTTCTCTTTTATTAGTGTAGATAATGTATATTATGTTGACTGGTTTAACCAATTTTAATGGAAAAATTCATTGCTGCTATAAAATTGTAGAAAAGTCTTTAAGTATTACCTCACTTTTGTTGGGCTCTTAGAGAACCTAAAAGTTTATTTTTAAAATCATCATTAGCCCTGGCTTGTATGGCCCAGTTTGTTGGGTGTTGTCCTGTGCACCAAAAAGTTGCTGGTTTGATTCCCGGACAGGGCACATGCCTGGGTTTCAGACTCAATCCCCAGTGGGGACATTTAGGAGGCAGCCAATCAATGTTCTGCATTACATCAGTGTTTCTTGGTCTCTCTCCCTCTCCCTTTCTCTCTCTCTAAAAATCAATAAAATCTCTAAAACAGAAAACCCTAGCTGGTTTTGCTCAGTGGCTAGAGCATCAGCCTGTGGACCTAAGGGTCCCAGGTTCGATTCCAGTCAAGGGCATGTATCTTGGTTGCAGGATCCTCCCTGGCTGGGGCCTGATCAGGGTATGTGCAGGAGGCAACCAATAGATGTGTTTCTCTCACATGGATATTTCTCTCTGTCTTTCCCTCTCTCTTCCACTCTCTAAAAATCAATGGAAAAATATCCTCGGGTGAGGATTAAAAAAAACAACCCATTATTACCATTGAAACATTGTTTGAGGAAATTGTAAACTTTTTGATAAGTCTAATGAAACCAATGACTTATCACTGCATAGCTTCCTGGGATGTCAATTTTACTGATTTAGGGCGGGGAGAGGGGTAGGAAGCATGGAGAGACAAAAGAGATAAGCACTTTTATACATTAAATACATTTAAGTACAGTATGGAGTAGAGAATTCAACTTTCTTTGAACTTTCAAGATAAAATACAAGAATTAATATAAATGTTATTTTTATGGCTAGACCACCTTCTGGATTCTTGGATCCTTTCCTTTTCTCTACCCTTAAGTACTTAGTAGAAAATTTTATTCTACCAAAAAAAAAAAAATCATCACGTAGTGATGTCATGGCATAAACAAAGCTCTGCAGTATGTTTGGTTTGAAAATCATTAGAAACACTTTATTTTTTTCTTTCATAATCTCTCATTGAGCTTTTTAAAAAGTAACATAAATCATAGTGGCTATCTCAAAAACTCAGATGCTCTTTCTTTTTCTGACTTGAAGGAAAGAAAAAGGAAAAGAAGGAAAGCAACTGGTGATGTTATTTTTTTATCTAAATTTAAGCTAACACATTTATTTTTTGTTGTTTGTTTGTTTGTTTTTGGTAATTCTCACCTGAAGATATTTTTTCCATTGCTTTTCAGAGAGAAAGAGGGAGGGAATTGGGGGGAGAAGGGAGGGAGGGAGGAAAACATTTATGTTTGGTTGTCTCCTACAGGCTCCCCTTGTGGGGGGCTGGGAGGGAGCAGGGAGTGAACCCGAAACCCAGTACATGCCCTGACCACTTGGTGCATGGGCCGATGCTCTAACCAATTAGCTACACAGGCCAGGGCAAACCGACACACATTTCTTGATCTTACTCTCTTATAAATAACGGCCCAGTGCATGAAAGTTCATGCACTGGAAGGGGTGTCCCTCAGCCCGGCCTGCCCCCCTCACAGTCTGGGAGCCCTCGGGGGCAGGAGGCGACCCGGCGATCAGGGGAAGGCGACGCCCCTTCACACCTTTGCTGCTGCCACTGCCGGTAGCGCAAGCCTCGGGCAGCCCTGGGTGGCTAGGCAGCCACCATCCAAGGTTTGCCTGCACCTCGGGCCGGCCCTGGGCTGCTGGGGGACTGAGGGGACTGGGGACTGCGGAGGCAGGCTCACGGCAGGGCTGAGGGGACTGGGTGCCACCATCTTTGAGGGCGTGGCAGTCTATTAGCGTATTCCCTCCTTATTGGCTGTGGGCGCCGCCATCTTTGAGGGCATGGCAGTCTATTAGCATATTCCCTCCTTATTAGCTGTGGGCGCCGCCATCTTGCGACAGTGTGAGGGACAATTAGCATATTTCCTCTTTATTAGATAGGATAAAAGCATGTTTTATGACCAAGCAGTTCTCTTAAGCCTAGTTTAAAGGTTACTTTGAAGATCTAACTGTTTCATTATATTTTGACAAATGTTTTTGGTTTTTTTTAAACATTGAATGGGGAGGACAGGAAAAAGAGGAAGGCTGGCACTTTATCAGAGCATACTAAACGTTATCTTATTGGGACCTTGCTTTAACTGGATTAATTAGCAGATCAGAACTCTTTTGTTTTCCTATCAGTATCATCCCTGTGTTCAAATGGATTGTTTGCTGCCAAAGATTCTTTGTCTTAGGCTAGAAGACTGATTTAATTTTTAATTGCACATTTTCTTTTGCCAAAAAGACAAAGTTTTTAGTTCCACCAGCCTCTTTTAGCCTGTGCATGAAGATAACTCACTACCTCTATTTTATCTTTTCTAGTATAAATGTCATGAAACTGCTTATTGGTTCATCTAACTTATTTGTGATGCAAGTGGAGATGGATGTATACACAGCTCTTAAAAAGGTATTGATGTAATATAATGTGTGTAGGCTATCACCTCAGCATTGATTATAATAGTGAAAAATTAGTAACAGCTGGTGTCCAGTGATAGGGAATAAATAAAAGAAAATATGGGAAAATGTTAAGAAGTCTTTGTGTGTATTTGGTGCCACGATGAGTGATTTTAATTTGGTCTTCATACTTTCTATCCTAGGAATACATTTCTGTTTTTTTCCCAACAACAAATAGGTTATTGTTATGCTATTTACATAATCAGAAATGTTAAATGTTTTACAGTTGACTCTTAAACATCTCAGGGGTCAGGGGAACTGAAATTAAACCCCCCTCCTCTAAGTTCTTGACTCCCCAAGAACTTAGCTACTCATAACTACTAATAATCTATTGTTGGTCTCATCAATTAACACATATTTGGTATGTTATAGGTATTGTGTATTCTTACAATAAAGTAAGCTAGAAAAAAAATGTTATGAAGAAAATCATAAGGAAAAGAAAATACATATATAGTATTTATTGAAAAAACAAACACACACACACACAAGTGGACCTGAACAGTTCAAACCTGTGTTGTATATGGTTTTCAGAAATGTTTTCAAGTTGAAGTTTAAGTGAAGTAATAACTATAATGATATTTTCATACATGCTTTTCTAGAAAATGTTGAAATTATTCTCTTAAAGACCTTATTTGCATTCAGGCATATGTTTCATCCCATCTTTTTCAAAGGTTTCAGCATTTTAAATGTAATTTTATTTTCACCACTCTCTTAAGAGACAAATTGGCTATTCTTTTTTTGTAATTATAAAAAAAAAATTATTATCGCCCTAACCCCGTGGTCGGCAAACCGTGGCTTGCGAGCCACATGTGGCTCTTTGGCCCCTTGAGTGTGGCTCTTCCACAA